TGCCCCTGCCACTATGCCCCCAGACCTGTGGTTTCTGGAAATGAGCCTGGATGGCACATTCCTGACACAGGGAACAACTCTTCTTCTTCCTTCTGGGTTTTGCCCTACCTAACACGGCTCTTGCCCTACACCCACAGACTGTGGTCACACTTCAAGAGCGAGGTTTTACAGAAGCTACCATAAAGGCAAAGCCTTGCTAAAACACAGGTTGAGAGTAACTGCAGTGCCCATTAAAAAAAAAGAAAAAAAAAAAAGAGCTCCTCAAGCACACCTTGATTCTAGGGTAGCTTACAGACCAATGGACTTGGCACAAACCAAAAAGATCAACCAAAGCAGAACTAAAAGCAACTGAGGGCAGGCTGCCATGCTGGGTCAATGTAAATAAGGAGAGAAGCATGTATTTAAATGTTTTTATTTCAACTAATGCTTTGCCACCATATTACATCACTTTGAATAGCTTGGAATAGCAATATGATCTCAAAATATAGCAAACAGCTTGCCAAAGCAAGATAATATTAAATCCTATGGATACGGCATCTTCCTTCTTTGGCGACAACGCTTCCTTTTATCTGTAAAAATAGTTTTTTGTTCCAGCACATTTGCTGTTCACTTTATTGAACACTGCTGTTTATAACATTTGCCTCTTCCCCGCAGGAAACCTCTCCACAACGTAGTATGGTTTTATATCCAACAGCATTTTAAATAAAAAAAGTTATATTTTTCATGCAGATCTTTGTAAAAATTACTTTCTAGGTGCACAGACCGAACCAAGATGCATACAAAAATGCATTCACTTCCATTCTCAGGTGTGACCGTGCCATCTGCAACATCATCTTTTATATTACTGCAAGAGGACCAAGGATGGTGGTATTCTCATATAAAGTACAACTTCAAAAAAACCCAAAACAAAATAACCAAAAAACCCCTTTTTTATAAGCAGCAAGAGAAAAAACTGCAAGGCTTTATTTGTGAAGTAATTAAAATAGTTAGATGTATAAAAAAGCACCATGTACAGAGAATACCAGAGGAAGATCCATCTTCCTAATTACACATTTCTCATTTAGCATTGCGAGCTGGCCTGCAGGTCCCAACTTGTACTGTAGCTTTATTTGCAAAGTTAAGGAAGTGGTCAAACCTAGAGTATGCCTGGACCGTATGACAGAAATTAAACTGGACTGCAGACAGAAATTAGATTTATTTCCATTACAACTCATACCAACCACCTTATAGCCCTCAGGGGTAAAAACCCCACACACCACGTATCTGAGAAATAACGGGGTGAAAACAGCTCCAGAGCAGTACTGCAAGATGCAGGTCTGTTATGAATGCATTTCTGTGAGCTCTTGATAAGTTAAACTTTCCTTTGGGAAAAGAGCACGTCTGTTGGTTAAAACTCCTCTCCCTGAGAATTTTGATAAGAGTTTGTCTTGCAAAGCAAAACAAAGTCCTTTGAACTTCAACAGTTCTTAGGCCAACAGCATTTCAACATGGTCACAGCTGATCTGCTACTCATGCACCCAGGGTGGCAGGTTGGGTTTTTGTTGTGTTTTGGGTTTGGTTTGTTTTTTCTTTACATGGATCAACCCTTTTATACTCGCTTCATGCCTCTGCCCATCAAGCAGGCAAACACTGTCATGACCATCTTCGGTTTCACCTCCACAAGATCTTCTGGAAGAGCATATACCCTGGCACCAATTCTTCTTGCCATGGACACAGCATACCTATTCACCATAGAAAGATGAGTGGGTCAGCACTGAGACTGCTACCAATAAATGCCAAGTCAGATCCTGCCCTACCCAACACAGTTTCACCTATTAGCCCCTCTTTATTAAGATCCAAGACATGCAGCAGTGCAATCACACCACATCTGTTTGCTCTATAGAGGTTTTGCTGATTTTTGCTGTATTCCTTTTCCATAGTAAAGTGTCTTTAATGCACAAATTGACCTTTGAATGTCAATTCCACTTTACCAACAGTTAAAAAAACCCTGTATTTAATATCTATTAGTGCTAATAGGTAGCATCTATAACCAAGGATTAATCAGCTAACATTTACACTTCCCCTTCTGTTCGCTCTTCAGGAACAATCAAGTGAGACTATTACCTGCAAGAAACACTGCTGTCCTTCTGACACTGACACATTCTGACACATTTCAAAGGCATGTTTAAATAGGTATACTTTAAACTAGACAACCTGTGATGATTCAGCAAGACATTCAATTTCAAAACCCTGAGCACTTCACACGCCTGAACAAAAAGGTGAGAAAGAGCATTATTGCCAAGAACTGCTTGGGCTGCTCTGCATCCCTCTCAACAAGCACGAGTCCCAGCCAACTGCTCCCTCCAGCGTTACAGGCAAGGACAGCAATTAGATTTCAAGAAGGGCTGCCTGTCTAAAACGTGCAGCATTAAGAGATTGAAAACCACAGCAATAAGCTATGGTAAAACCACTTGGAGCTTAAAGCCAGCGCATAGAAGATGCTCTCTTTCAACGCAAAAGAGTTTTGGAGGTAACAAACTTACTTAGCATTATTGTGTTTGTCATCTTCCGATAGATGACCGGTCTTTACAAGGTCATAGTTAATACAGCCAGGCTGTATAGCATCAATTAAATCCACAACCGCCAAGCTTGTGCTGATAGTCTTGTCCTAGAGAATACAGGGACAAAAAAGCAAAGATGAGTGCGTAAATCCTCAAAGTGTTCTTCTCACCTCCACTCAGCTGCTCTGCAGTGTGCAACAAAACAAGCTTTGAACAAGACATTTCAAAGCAGCAGCGTTAGTGATTATTCCAGCTTGACCACAGGGAAAAACCAGACTGTGCTCCTCCTTCAATAACAGTACAAGATCCTTACCTCAATTTACCACAGCTGCTCTGAAAATACAAAGCAGTAACCAATGCCCAGGCAGCAGGTCTGCCCCGCTGACCAGACCCCAAGGGACAACGCTCACCTACAAATGCTCGCCAAGTCCAGCCCCTACCTCTGCCCCAGAGCCTGACCACCCTCCCCTACCCTCCCACCCCATCAGTTTGCCCCACCACTATTCCCCACCGTGGGCAGTCATAAGGTATCTCCTCTCCGGTAGCTGGAAGCTACTTTGTTCCCAGCACAGACTGAATCCTGTCCTGTTCAAACCCCGTTCTGCTGTTCCTCCAGCCACGGAAACACTTTTTGGGCACCCCTCTCCTTTTGGATGCAATAGGGGAACCTGCACCTTGAAATTCTGGATGGAGGTGGACTTGCCAGCTTCCTTCAGGGTCTGGTTTACCCAGCTGACTATAATGTCATCGTTCGCTTTCTGACCGTCACCCAGGTCCTCGAGGACGTTCAGCGTGTACCTGAGAACCGGCAGAGAGAGTAAGATTTGGCGCTTTTTAAACTCCTTCAGCAAAAAAGGAAGAATCATTTATGTTAGCTGGAGTGTGATTTCTGTTAAAGCATTTAGTCTTTCTAGCCTTTCAAGTGCTTTAATACGAGATCGCAAAATTGCCTGGGCTCAGGACACTTGTTTCACCATTGATATTTGCTCCACAGGGTTCACACATAACCTAAAAGGTGTGGCTCAGCTCACAAGATAGCATTCTGATGTCTGCTGCCAAATAAGGAGCTACCACACAGCTATTTTGCAGATGTATATTTGCATCATCTTTGAATTCTTCAGAAATAGATGAGAAAAAGTATTATCAACTTTATCTGTCATGAAGTTTCTCCTTCCCCCCATTCCAGTACAGAGGGGGGTTATAAAGCAGCCCTGGAATGTTTCTCTCTCAATTTCCAATTAAAAATTAAAACATAAAAGTTGCATATATATTCCTGCTTAGGGTTTTTGCATGTGGACCAGACTTGAGCAGGCTCCTGGTCAGCAGAATGTTCACAGATCCATTAGGGCATTCCCTGGAAGTCCCTGCTTCAGCCTCCCATGCACAGCAGCATCAGCTCTGCCAGAGTCTCGTCCGGCTGTGTCTCAGACCCCCCCCACAAGGACAGAGGTTTTAGAGTCTTTCAAAGTGACCTGTGACTGCAGTGCTTTCATGGCAAAAAGCTTCCCAAACTCTGTACTCCGTTCACAAGTTTTACATGTCTGAGCTGGGTCCTACCTCCTCATCAACTGCCAGACTAAGGCTAGTGTCAGCGTTGGGTTTCCGTCATTCAGATCCTGCCCTCCGATGCCAACCAGGGAGAATTTAGCTGGATGCTTTCCCAAGTCTACAGCATAGTTACAGTTTTCTAGCTAAACAGGAAGAGAGTTTAAACAGAAAATCACTCACAAATGCACCCACTTGACTGGAAACCTCAAACAGTAATTTTTAAAAGACTTTTGAAATGCTTACCTTTTTCATATTTGCTCCAAGCTTAGGGTACGGAGGCTTGTTAACCTTATTCCAGTCAACAGGAACTTTGATCTTTTCATATAATTGTAGTATTACCAGTGCATCTTGGAGATCGCTGAAGTGGAAAACATTGATTAAGCCAAATGTTTCAAGATTTAGGTGCATTCTGATTTTTGTCACATCATGAATAATTACCACTACTCTTTACAGGTTGTTGCAATTTCAACAACCCTAAAAGGAAAAAAAAGAATCAAAACGTTGTGTAGTTTTCAGAGCAGGAGAAATGCTTCTTCATGCTTAACATCAGCTGGCTGCTGAGCTAACGCAGGTTTTAGCATGGTAATCAGCAACAAATCCAAGGAAGAATTTTGCTACATAAAATCCAGGAGGTAGCCACTGACTACAAGGACCCAGAGTATCTTGCCTCCTAACTACATCTTGGTTAAGCACTACAATTAGGTGACAGGGAAATTAGTTCCAGTTGCTCAAGCAGATATAAGCATATTGAGATCTCAGGGTACCAATTTACACAAGATAGGGAAAAATAAACAAACAGTCTTCAGCCCTTAAAGCTAGTTGCTGGTGTGCCAAGAGCTAGCACAGAAATCCCCAAGCTATGGACTGCAGGGAGGGTACAGCGAGCATCTCCCACTCCCTATGCCTTCTCAAGCCCTTTGCTCGGCACTGTGGGCAAGAGGACACTGGCGTGGGCACATCTCTCATCTGATCTAGGTGGGTCTCTCCCAAGATCTGAACACTTACCCGTAGAGGTGATTTACATGGGGGTTCACACCAAGGGAGTTCATCCAGTTGCGGAAGGTCCGTTCCTCACGTGTCTCTCCTGGATGAGAGAAGAGAGGTTCATGCAACGTTGTGCAAACTTAAAGCTGCTCAGGGTTTTCCACCTTGCAAGGCAGCGAGCTTTGAGCAGCACAGCTCATCGATCAAGGTTTTCAAGCAGAAAAGCTATGATTTTTCTACTGTTTTTTTTTTCAAAGGAAGAGGGTTACCCTGATATCTAGTTTTGGCCTCAGAAGAGCACGACTTTTGCACTTCCTGCAAGAAAAGGTAGCAGGAAGGTCTTTCACATGGGTGTCAGCTAACTGTTGTCTGGAAGCCAGGCAGCCAAAGCCCCAGCACCAGTTCTGCCAGCGATTACAGCTGCCGTGAACATCTCACTGTATTACTGAGGTGCTCCTGCCCATCGCAGGAAATGGCAAAACCAACTTCCCAGCCCTAGCACTGCCAGCAGTCAGGAGGGCTGACCTGCTGCTGGCAGCGCTTCTTCAGGTTCAGACTCCGGAGCAGGGTCAGAGCAGCTGAAAAGGTTGTCAAGTACCCTTCTCGTCTGCCCCAAACAAGTAAATCACTACAGCACTGAAGCCTCAAATCACAGGTGTTACTTCAGTGCAGATACCTCTGCTGGGCACAGCCTCTCGTGACACAAGTGTTTACTCCTGCTAATTTTGTGACTGATGCAGCCATCACCTTCCAGTAGGGTCCAGTCGATGTCCTGGTTTTCAGGCTTGGTAAGTGCTGGGTACTTGTTGAACAGGTTGGCAACGAAGGCCAGGTTCAGTTTGGGATTGCCACTGACCACATCAGCCGGCGTGACGAACTGCCGACAGCCGAGCCGATCTGCCTGCTGAAGCATGAACTCTGCTCTCCGCAAGTCATCCTTTTCCTGCCGGGGATACAACAGACAAGAGCTGTCATGGAAGAGACAGGGCTACAAAGTAGATGGGAAGCTCCTGACTGCTACCTGGAGCAATGTCACAACTCCACCCGCCTTCGTTAGGCATCAGTCACTAATCAAAGGGATGAAGCATGCATGCTAATCCCTCCTGCTGTGCACGTAACTGTCCCAGTTTGCCTTGATATTTTTCCTAGCACAGTGCTTTCCAAGTTTACATGCTTTCCACTTTTTATGCTTTTTGAACTTGGCGGTACGAAAGCAGAAGTTACTATGCTCCCAAATAGAGCTAACCCACAAACAATTTCTCAGTCACATATGTTAGTTGGTGGGTAGCGATCAGGCCTCCAACCACCACTCATTTAGCACATACCCAAGGTGCACACGTGTCCACTGACACTTCACACACTCAAGAAATTAAGATATCAGACATACCTAGATGTCATGAGGAAATTACAGGGTGCAGGTAGTTCATGTACAGCATGAGGACACGACAGCCTGAATACTTACATTGAAACCTGACATATTAATATCAATCTGAGGCTCTCCTTCTTTCTGCCCTTTAGGTGCAATTTGATTGAGGAGGTGGAAATAAGCTCTGGAATCCTGAAATGGATGAAAAAAAAAATTCTGGTCTCCTGCACAGGGGTGAATACACCGTAACAATTCATTTCAGGATCATCTTTAACAAGTCATTATGCATAATTGGCTTATGTACCTTTACTGAATTACCAAAATCTGCAAGCTTAAAAGAGAGCATTGATGGCAGAAATCCAGGCAGCAGAAAAGGAAACAGAGAGGGAAAAGGTTAGAAATATTTCAGATTAAAATCATGGGGTTTAACCGTTTGAAAGCTGCCTTTGCTGCAAGCTCTGGTGCAACAGCATCCTCTCCAATGGCTGGAGGTGGCAGTGAATCCACACTGCCTGCTCTCATGGCACCCACAGCCAGATGCATCAAGGCAGCCCCAACCCCTAAACAAGGCAGCCATTCCTACTGCTACAGCGATGATGGAAATGTCTCAGCGAAGACAAAGTCCAGGCAAAGAACTGCTTTAAGAAATCTGGATGTTTTCTCCTGTCCCTGCCCGTCACTTATAATAGCTTAAAGGAGAGAGGTCAGGGATGGTCACAAACTAGGAGGAGCAAATAGCTGCAGTAATTATTTATCAACAAGCCCTTTTAGTCCTCAGCACAAAGGAGAACCTTGGCATATCCCAGCAGCCCAGGGGTTGCCCCAGACAAGCCAACAGCTATCAGCGAGGCTGTAAGCACTTTTGAAGGTGGAAATAAGCGTGATCATGCATGTATGCACACATGCACACACACAGGGAAGCTCTGGGCTTGCCATATACCTTCAATTATCAATTTTTTTTTCTCCACCTCAACAGTTCTTTACCCTGGAATCAACTTCAGCCCTCTTTTTCTTCCTCAAAACTGCTGGCTATGTGAATAAGCTCCAGAAACCTGCTGTGATCAGTATCTAAAAACCGCACACTGACCAGAACTCACTACCCACCATTTCTCACTAGAGCTGAGAGAAAACAACCCACCCCCTCAAACATGAAAAAGACCTGACTCCCCTCTCCCATTTCTACTCGGCGCAGTGTAGAGAATAAGCAGTCTTGTTTCCCTTCCTCTCTCCAGCCCGTAACGTTTTGGAGGAAACGCCAAGAGTGTGTGGAAGTCACTCTCCAGGGATGTAGTTAAAATGTTTCATCCTGTCTGAGCAAGCTGCATTGCCCTTGAAAAATTATTTCCATCAAAAAAGATTAAGAACATTTGAAAACACAGAGTAATACCAGTTTCCTATTCAATTAAAACATATAACAGCTTTGCAGCAGGATCCCACTAGCACTGGAGGAAACGCTCATTGGGCTCAACCTCCTGGCAAGAGAGAATAGCCCTGTGGTACTTTAAACACAGCATCCATAAAACCCCTGTTAAGCCCACTCAGAGTATCAAGATTAAGAAAGGTCCTGTCTGCGGATGAAGGGCCTCATTTGCACATGCAAACATGGCCCTGGCCCATTCCCAACCTTTTCCCAGGCACGTGCAGGCTAGGAGAGCTCTTGGTACCTTGATATCTGAGCTGAAGTTATTGATTTTGTGCCAGCCTGCGTTTTCCAAGTGGAAGTTGGCCCATCTTAGGAGCAGCTCTTCTGGAGATAGTTTCATGAGGTCCTCCAGATTTTCACCATCACGAAGTAAGGCAGCGAGTGCTGGAAGAAAAATGCTTGTGAGGGGAAGGACAGTTTTCAAGAGGCAAACCTGCATGCCAGAATTAGAGCTGCAGCAACATTTCAGGGAAAAAAAAGCAGGGACAATAGCAACTGATGATTAAATCAAAATAATCTGGGTATTAGTGGAGTTTTCCCAAGCTGGTTGTCACACAGAGAAGAGTGTGAGTGATCTAGAAAACTGCGTGTAAAAACCATTTGCCGTGTTCTTGTAAGCAAAATTCTCTGGATTTTACATGCAGTCTTTTAAGCCGACGACAGTAAACTAAATGTACTTCTATCTCCATTAAAAAGTGCTTCCAAGTAGTTACATATGCACTGCTAAAAAAGCTAGAGAAGCCAAAATAAGCACCCTTTCAGCTGGTTGGTGCTTTCCTTGCCATGAATTTTCAATCTAAGCCAATGTTACCACTTCAGGACTGGGAAATTTCAATAAGAGTCTGAAGACCCTCCATCTATCTGGGCTCTCTGATAGCCCATGCAGGAATAACAGAGCTCTTTGAATGATTTGAGAAGTTTAAATTCTGGGGGCTGTTGTGCAGGACCAAGCAAGCAGGGGAGGAGAGCTGCAGCAGTGCCCTCCCACCATCAAGAGTGAAGCAGCCCTACTCTTCCCGCTCCCCCCCTCCCCCTCTTGTGAGGAATATGTGCAGTTGTCTGTAATCCTAAAAGGATGCAAGCAGCTTCTGCCACCTCCCAACCCCATCACGTACCTATGGCCAAAGCACACCGGGAGAGCCTGCCCAGCCCAAGGCATCACCGAGCAGCACAATCATTCGCGCCACAGGGCTTGAGCCAAGGTGCATCTTGACTTAGACGTGTGTTCGGCCAGTCCTCAGAGGTGACACACATTACCAGCATGGTACAACCCACCCGCACAAACCTGCTTCACAGCTACAAGCAGGCTGGCGAGCACTCAGCTGGGGTCACGCCCTGGCGAACCCAAAGCTAAGTACCCCCCTTTCAGCAGAGAGGAGGATGGAAGCGGCAGCAATGGGGCTGGAGGTGAGAGAGGAAGCAACATGTGTTCATGCTTTAGAAGTAATCCCTGAGAGCTTCATTTACCTTCATTTCTGCTGAGCTCGATGTCGGCGAACAAGCCGATCTTGATGATCTGCCAGAGAAGCCCAAGGACCAGGTGGGGTTTCCCTTCCCTCAAGTCCTCTGCGCCAATATTGACAACATGACATCCGATGGCAGATGCAGAATTCAACGCCAGGTTCAGGTTCTCCTGCAAACAGCAGAGCAGAGTGAGAGACAACCCGGGGAGATGCTGCCTTGCCTTTCATCCAGCACCAGCAGAGACTCCACCCTGGCCCTTGCTCCAACAGCAGCCGCTCGGACGAAATGCTCACGGCCGCTCTCCGGCTGAAGTTTTAACAGAGCTGTGGTGGCAGCAGGCTGAATCAATAAGAACTGAACTAGGCACCAGGGTTTAATTTCAGGCTCTGGTATTTAGTTTCAGCCACCGAGTTAGTGGCATCTAGTGGTGTCAACAAGAATAAGGCTAGAGAAGTGTTGCGTTATACACACACGCACAGGCATCCTCGCAGAAACCACCTGTTGTACTATGAAATCATTCACAGAGAGCCAGTGCCAGTAACTGTATTGTTTGAAAAAGACAGCGCTGTATACAACCACCGCAGCAGTATCGGGGCTGCACAGCATTTCAGCCACTTTACCCATTTTGTCATTAAGGCTTTTGTCTTTTGAACTGTACTCACAGCACCATCAGTTATGAGCAGTACAAAACTGCCTTTGATAATTAAAGGCAAGTTCTAAAACATGCTCCTCTCCAGAGTTCCACAATAATGCCTCGACCCAACACGCTGTTCTCTTTAATCCTATCCGAACATGAATTTCGGCAAAATTACACAAGTGCATTATACCTGAATTATGAATGGTGTGAGCTTCTTCTTGTTAATTGCTCTTTCATCAATCGTGTCCGGAACAGAAAGGTTGATCATTTTGCTGGTAGGAGAAAAAAACAATAATATTTGAACAACCTTTAGTATTTAATCTCAACAAGACTCAATGCACTGTTGCACTACTCACTACAGTGCATTTCCTTTTGCCTGGTTGGTTTTCTCTATTTTTTGGGAGTTTTAAAATCAAGGTTCTGTTAAATCAGAAGTTAATATTTACATTATCAAGAATGTATTTGTAACTAATAGCTAAGCTAAGCTGAAACCTTAAACACGTTACTGGCCACTACTGATCTCAGCTGCTGAAGCAAAAGGAGCACATGAATTATTCACAGTGTAGTCACTGAACTAGCGAATACTCATTGCTCTGTTGACATCTACTGCAGATTCTAGTAAGACAACACGCTTCCTCCTGTTATAAAGGTGTACTACTGCTGGCAAGAAAAAACTGCCCCCCAGAAAGTGCAAACATTGAGAAGAGCTCAGCGGGGAGCACGTGAGCACAATGAACTTTTAGTCAACAGAAAGCACAGCAAGTTTTTACTTTATATTATGAACTACTTTCTACTCAGCGTTTGCCTGAAGACCTGAATTACTTGAAAATGGGAAAATAAAAAAAAACAATAATCACAAGCTAAAAAAAAAAAAGAAATGAAAGGCAATGGGCAGCCCACTAACAGCTTTTGTGGACTGATACAGGGTTACTGAAATTCCAGGGTGATCCAGTTCTCCACTCTATTAATTTGCTTACATTTAAAAAACAAACCAAAACCACAAAAGCAAAAGAAGCCCCATACGTGTTTAGCAGCCCTGGATGCCTTCTGTTTTCAGCAGAAAAAAAAAAAAAGTTGGTTTACTAACTTAGTGCATCTATTTTCAAAAGTAGCAAAAAAATTCCCAGAAAATCCCTTTTTGGGGCTAATCCATAAAGTCACTAACATTCCCACAGAGGTTATGGTCTGTCTAAACATCCAAGAAAATGGGCTATTCAAGACATCTCCCCTCCCCCAAGCTACCTAACATCAGGCTGTGGTTTTACCAGGACAACTTCTGCTCCCGCAAGGTACTTTCTCCTCTGCAGCAAACCCAGTCTCAAGCCCACACAAAAACACCAGACAGAAATACCAGCTCATGAAGTTGGCATCAAAGCTGAAGCATCACGCATTGACAATGAAAGCCTGGGTGACTGAGCCCCTTTTTATACATGCAAAACATTATGCACACACACTAGTCACCAAAACAGCCTAGAGGAGGATGAAAACTCCTTTAACTACAGTTTGGGGAAGTTATTTTGATGATTTTTTTTTTTTTTTTTTTTTAATTCAGGAGCCATCATAACTTACCATAGCACGATCCCATCTCCCACAGCTTTGAACAGGTCATCTGTATTTGGGTTCATTGGAACAACGTGCCTACAGTCGGGATCATTTTCCAGGGCTTTGTTTATCCAGTTTACAAAGGCATATTTTTCTTCCTCTAAGATAACCAATTGTAAATTTAATACAGGCTTTTTCATAACATAGCAAATATTTTCCCAAAAGAATCAGTGTACAATAGCCCAGGGAAATAAAAGCCCCACGATCATTACCACACTATTTTAATAGTCACACAAAGGTTAAAGAAATTTGATTTTCACTTGCAATTACCAGTATATTCCGGTTACTTACTTGTTACTCAACAACTTTATTATATTTGAGTGTGACACAAGGACTCCATCAGCAAGCACAGTTAACAGCACAGATTCAACTCGCACACTGCTAATCTTGCATTACCCTCCAGTTCTGCCCTGCTCTCACCTTGACGTGAGACCGTTCAGCTGTCAGAGGACAAGAGCGCAGTACACGGCAGGGCAGTAGAAATCTACTATTTTTGGCATACGGCCTCCACTCACCCGAGAGGAGCTGAAAGGCAGAGCGATACCTGAGTAGGAGTGCTGTGTCCCCTCGCTGGAGAGCTCTGACGTCCCCCCGATCGCACAGATTCCTTCCTTCCTGTTAATGGCTTTTCTGAATGTTTTAGCGATATCACTGCTTTTCACCTCTTGGAAAATCTACAAATTAAAGTGCTCAGTTAGACAAGACAAACTTGTCTTCATCAAATGAAAAGGACAAAAGCAGCAGCTATTTCTTCTCAGCTTTAAAGCAAACTTTGTAGTAAAATCAGCAAATGTGAAGGGCCCAGCAAGGTGTAGTGGTATTAAATTTAACAGGGAGAGTGGGCAGAGTCATCCCACTCTCAAACACATAATGCAAGTGCCTATTGAATCAGAAGCATTTGGCATGACGTACCTCACACCCATTATTTACCTTTTCAAGTGGATTTCAAGAGATCACAAAAAAATAAAACCAACGTGAAACCTTTGCAGTCCGAGAGCAGGGACACATGCAGCAGTTTCTGCAGGACCAAAGTTCAGAAAGCTGTTGTGCAGCTCCAACCTTTCTGCGTAAGCCAGATGCTCGTGTGACTGTGGCTTTAGTTCACACAAAAGACTTTGTCTACAACCCCAGAAACAATTCTCTAAGTGTGTAACAGTCAAATCCGCAATAATGTGCAACAACGAGCACTCCAGGCAAGGATTCCCCCTCCCAAAACAGCAGCCTTGGGCTAACTGGCAAAATACCCTCATGTTTGAGGGCAGAAGAGATGCTTTAGGGCAGAACGATTACACACACTGCTTGTGCAGTCTGTACATTACTATTAGTGGCCCTGAGGCCCTACAGAACTGAGCGATTATTAGGCAAAAAAATACATTCCATGGCTTGAAAGCCTCCTGTGACTCCCTCAAAACTTCACCAAATTAGTTTTGACCAGGCTGAAAACACAAAGGAAACGTGTGCAGGTTCACTAAACACTACCCAGAAAAGGACAATGAAGCAGCACTGTAAAGCAGAACAACCAAGTGCCTCTCTTAATAAAGAGAGGAGGGGACTTGCCCACCTGGCTGCAGGGGTGTCACCACAGCACCAGCCTGCTGGCTGTCACCTTCCCTGCCCCTTACATACAGGGAAGGTGGCAGGTCCAGATGATAATGCAGTGCAGGTAAACCATCTCTTGATGGCACGCAGAGGTTGTGCTCACCAAAGCCATCAGGTAGAGCTGAGTGAAGAGAGCCAAAACACTTTTGGGTTTTCTGGTTGGTTGGTCTCAAACGTAAGGACTGTGATACAGATTTATTTATTTTAAAATCTGTTGGACTAATTACTGGTATGGTATACCTTACTTGAAAATGCGTGCTTTGATGCTGAGGTACGACTGAGTCACTTGGCCCCAGCCTCAAGTCAGTTCATGTCATCCTTTGTACTAATAAACCCCAGCAAAAGTGCTCAGAGTTAGAAAACAGCAACATTTCTGTTTATAAAAATCCTACCACTAACCACTGCTTCTACTGTATAGCTTAGCTGCCCGTAAGACATCCCATGTTTACTCAACCATCAGTACCATTCAAATGTGACAGAAGAGGTTTATTTCTTCTTTCCTAGTGCAAAGTTAGAGTTATGGACCAGCTCAAACCAACAACTGAAACATGCACCCAGCATGCAAGTGTTCACAAACTGCAAACAAGCTCCAACTTACTAGTTGACTCCGAACTCAAAAGTTCAGAGGGTCTGAAAACAATTAAGGAACAGAAGGTGAAGATAAATTAAGAAATATCAAGAAAAATAGTTGACATGAAAACAGCTCCCTCTACATACTGCACATACTTTTATTACTCCTTCAGCATTCAGAGTATAAAAAGGATGATGGGATGGATATTGAACCAGTATCTCTGAAGAATTGGTGTTTTTGTAAAAATATAAAAAAGCCTCTAAGCTCTTTGTACAGAAAAAGGCTGAAAGTTACACCCATTCTCCAACTTCTATCTCCTTACTCCTGTTTTTCCCTTTTAAGGTAACAAACAGACCTGAATTTTCCTAGATCAGCACTAATCTCCAAGTGTGTCTTGAAATGCCCTCTCAAATCTTTAGCAAATACTTGTAGTCCTATTAAACTGAGAAAGGAAATAATACTGCTTCACTGGGAAAACAAGCATTCATTTATGAGCCTGGAAAAACTGAGCAGCTTCCAGTCAATACTGTAAGCTTGGAGAACTGGAAGTATTTTTTCCAGTTGTCACCTCATATGGAACTGGTCTTTCGGCCTCCAACGAAGTTTTCATACAGGAAAAGCATGTGGCTTCTTTTTGCTTTTTGTTTAAAAACCAACATATTTCCCCCTCTGTCCAAATCTAAGGGCTGGCAGTGCCAGCACAAAAGAACGGTCCTATGCAGTGATCTGTACAAAAACCTGATTTTTACATGGCAAGTTTTCAAAAGTGATCAGTTTGTAGAAAGAAAATTAGGATTAGGGTAAGTGACCAAGAAGCCAGAAACCTCTTCTACCCACTGCCTTAGCTTTGTCTAAAGAGGGTCCCCACACCAGGCTGCTGCAAATTCAGAAGTTACCACTTACGTAGACAAACTCTTCAAAACTAATCTTCCCATCTTTATTCTTGTCACTGTCGATCATGAGCTTCTGGATAATCTCCCTCACTTTGTAGCCAGGGAGAGGCAGGTTGGCTTCCTTGAAGAGCTCGTGCAACTCATAGTCGCAGATGAACCCGTTGCTGTTGAGATCTGAGGAAGAGAAGGGGGGTAAGAAAAGGTTTTAGAAATGTGCAGAACCCCAACAGGCCCAGCCCCAGAGAGCAGAGCAGAAACACAACCCCCACGCTCAGAAGTGCTTTACAGGGAGCAACCTGTGCACTGTGGATGTATGAGATATGGAGACAAGGAGGAATCTCCTAGCGTGGTCCATCACGGTGTACCTGGTTTGGGGCCACACTGCACAGAGCATTCTTCTCTGCTGAAAGCAGGATCCGTGCAGGACACAGACACACAGCAGGATGCCCACACCAAAACCGACAAGCCCAAGCAGTACACTATTTAGTGGACACGACCAAGAATACAGCAGTTTCAGCTTTGGGCAACGGCAGCTTCGAAGCAGAGCTGACCATGATGGCTCTCAGCACACATGACCAAGACCAGGGTAAAAGTTTCATAACAGAGTATCTGCGTTTGCATGCATCATCTTCAGAGCATTTCTTTTCACATCTAACTGCAGCTGGCTTCGCATGGTAAAAATAGACAGTAATGAGACACAGCACTTCTTACTTTCTGAACTGAAAACTCTAAGTCAGCTCTGCATTTACATTTTTTTTTAATCATGTTGATAATGATGTTATCCACTTATTGCTGACGGAAAATTGCAGCCAGATATTTTAGTGCTTCCCAAGAATGCTCTGCAAAGACATTTGCCTTGACAGTCAACCACCAAGCCACAGCAGCACTACACGCTTAGACGACATTATCGCCTACGAGATTTGGGAAGAAAGAAAACAAGAATCTAGTGTCAATCTGGAGCTTTTCACGTCAACAGATCCGAACCCCTTTGGGGACACCATCACATCTACTGACCACGCAGAGCAAATCCAGCAGCCCCGGCCTTTCTTCAGGCAAGCGAGGTCTTGCTGTCACCACGGATTGGACTGGGTGGCTCTTCCCCAAGCTAACCACGACGAGTGGACACGTTCACAGCGTGGCTGGTACCCAGGCTCTGACAGTGGTAGGTCCACAAAGAAGCAGAGCATTCGAAGCAGTCAGACAGCCCAGATTCAACATCAGCATGACCCTCCAGCATGTTCAGAGAGAGAAGGATCCAGGGCATGTTGTGCTGTTACCAGCTCAGCAGTGATGCCAAAATCCTTTTGCTGTAGACGAGTGGTACAGACAGCCCAGGGAAGTTGATTCAGTGCCTGAGCTGCCATCTCTTCCCCAGGGCTGGGGCAGTGGGGAGATAGCAACCCCGGGTTACTACTGATGGTGGGGAATACCTGGATGGTCTGAGGAGGTGGCGATTTGGCAGTCTCCTCTGATTGCCATTCAACCACAGCCTCTGTAAGGACGACACAGTGCCTGTACTAAAGACATCAGCCAAACCCTTTTAGGTTAAACAAGAGCAGTGTCTGCATTTACACAGCTTCGTTACCTTCTCCCCCACCTCCAGAGCTCCTGGCCCTGTGATGGCGCACTGCTGAGTGCAGCTCGCCACCCTTGGCTGCCAAACCACATAGCGCTGCAAGGAACCTGGCTGCACTCGGTTTTGTCCAGCCATCCTTCTTCCCATGTTGCCCACAGAAGGGCTATTATGCTATTTATAATGCAGCAGAGTTGAATTCCACTCAAGCAACAGCTTCTGCTGCCCAAACACCCTGGCAGACTGCAGGCTGCTGCGGGTCCCCAGGCTGCGCGATGGAAGAGCTGCCCCAGGTTTTGGTTCTGTTCAAGAGGGAATCCCACAGCACTGGGGTCAGTATTTATGCTTAAAGGGAAATACGTTCAAGAATAAAATAAAACTAATCAGGATAGCTCTAAAGTCCATTTTTTTAGCAAATTTTGAAAGTCAATTGACTTTTAATGAGGTGTCAGTGGTGCTTTTAGGTTTTATTTCACACCAATGTTCCAGCAAGCAGCATGTCCTCACTACCATTCCAACCCTCCTCATTTTCCAGATCCATATGGGATTTTAAAATTGCTTTTATAAGTTAGCAAGAAAGTGAAATTCAAATGCTTAGTGGCAAATATCCAAAGTAACACAGAGGAAACCTGTATTCCCTCCTACACCCCAGTCCCTAGGTCTCAAACTAGAGAAGAATATCAATTCCAGTGGAATAATATATGTATTAAACTACTTTACAAAATGTCAGTGTTTACAATAATGCTGATGAAATAAAGTGGTTTGGGCCAATGATTAATGATAGCAACAGGCTGCTGTCTGGCCTTCAGTTTTAGATTTTTAGTCCAAAAAAATATAAGCCTACAAAGACAAGCTTTATTGAAGAGTCCAGCTCAAGATGTCATCAGCAAGCTATTTCCCCTCTAGATAAATTACAGCTTCTTCTATTACAGTTTTCTTAATACTAAATCTAACTCCACAATATGCATCTTTTCCTTGCCTCACAGCCAGTAAAGAAGATCAGACAAGATGGGATTTCCTAATCTCCAGGGCCTATGGACCTGAAACAAAACTTAGCTTTCACCCTCAGCATACCTACAGCCAACACCCATTGCTTTAGCCTGTGCCTGACTGAACAGACTACAGTCCTTTGCCATGCTGTCCAATTAAACAGGTACATCCAGAAACACCTGTTCATCACTTCTTCCAATCAACCCATCAACTAACAATTCAAGTTTTACATCTACCCAAATGTCAGTAGGCAAAGGACAGAGAAAAAAAAAGACTTCAAAATACATATTGTATCCTTGACAGGTTCAGAGGTGATTTGGATTTGGTAAAAGGTTCCTTTTGACATGTCTATCTTAAGCATTAAGAAGTGTTCTGGAACCAGGATTGCCTGTGCCACACAATATTATATATTGTAATATATGATTGTATTATATATATAATATACAGCATACAATATTTCATCAGGCAGAAGCCTGTTGAGGGAGACAGCAGAGAACAGAGCTCTCTGGAGGGAGATGCAACAGTAAAAGGATGCTTAAACCTGTTCAGACCTCAGTTCTACATATGAAGCCCTGCATGTCTTTCAAGGGTACAATCTAGATCAAGGAATTAAAAAAAGCCTTGCATTTATACTGGTTTTCTTGCAGAACAGAAACCATAACTTAAAAACACTGACTAAAAATGCAACAGCAGAGTTAGCCTAGACCACTGTCTGGTCCATCCCCACTTGCTCAGCAGACTTCAGTCTCCACCTGAAAGCACCAAACCTGGCTGCAGGGCAGATACCAGGAATTTATTACAGTCTGGGTCAACATCTGCCCATTCTGAGGGTTTTGTTCACTCCTGCAAAGCAGCATCTTCCCAGTCCTCTGGGTATGCCTAGTTCAAAGCAGATTTACCTCTGCTCACTGAAAAAAGGAAAAAGAATAAAAAATGAGCAGGTCTGAAACACAGACTCAGGTGCGAGTGCATGCAACCCCGGAGCATGGCACCAGGAAGGATACTGCCTGTCAGGAGGGATGCACACCAGTGGCTCCCAGCACCTGCACTGGGCTCAGACAGCCCAGTGTGAAGGACATGCTGTTGAGTAATGCACCGTAACTCACTCAAGGCCCTTGGGTCTCAGGACCCAAGCTCTCCCATCTCTTAACAACATCCCAAACATCCACGTGTAAGAGTTACTTTTCCACACTGTCCTGGGAAAAAAAAAAAAAAATTAATCATTGATTTACTTGATAGCTTCAAAGGGCATCTATGTCCCAGACACTTTACTAGTGGGACTTACAAGCAAGACAGGTCTGATGGTTCCACTGCAAGACCCCACACCACGTTACTGGTTTTGCAGTAAAGATGTGCTCATTTCTAGCTTTAGCTTCTTGGCCACAGAAAGGCAGACTTAAGTGTTAAAGCCTGGTGGATGTGCTAGCCTGTGGTTTTGGCTCAGTAACAGAATCGAGTAACCTTAACTAGTGATTGACTATGTGGTGGAATACGGATCCATTCTTCTCCTAACACGTCAAAAAGCCTTTTGCCCTGTAAAAATGGTAAAAATTACAAATAGATCTGAGAACCCCTACTCCATCAGGAAGCTGCTTCCCTTCCTGCCGTTTCTCCCCCTCCACCCCATCCCCCCAGGCATCACAATCAAATGTACAAAGTAGCAGCATTAATAAAAATAAAAAAGCAGCCACCTTTGCAGCAGCAGCAAGTTCCATAATTATTTCCAGCATTACTGCAGACCCACCATATGGTGCCTTGCTGGATGCCCTGCAACCAGGCCAGACTTCAGATGGAAGGTGGTCTGAAATCCCTCTCTAACAAAATCTGAAATGGTATTCAACAGCTGAAGAGGCTGTCAAAATAAAAGCCATCCCAAATGAACTCCTTCGGCGTCCAGCCCAGAGTTACTAATGGAAGAAGGCAGAATTGTTTTAACAGACAAGCTACAGCCTGGATCCATTATAATCTGCCTGATGGAAAGGAAACTACAGCACATCTGAAGTTTCCTATTTCTACTGAAAGATGCATGCCAGCACGCTAACCTGGGCACGGCCACGCGGCGATGCTCGGCACCTTCTCCTGCCCATGTGCAGGTGGCGCAGCGAAGCTGCCATAAACAACACCCAAAAGCTGCTTCGAGCTCTGGCTCAGCTTCCTCCAGACCAGGACTTAAAATAGCTTAAATAACAGGATGCAAGAGGGGAAAGTAACCCACATGTTTCCTTTTAAGGATATATGCTCAGCAGGACACACTAGCGGGATCACAGATCCCTATTTGCCTTAAGCTAACATTTCAGAGCATTGTTTTACCACCTTGCAGCAGCGAACAGAGTGTTCAGCTGGGTTAGGATTTTTAAGTACTTCGTGTTTCCAGAAAAGATGCTTATCTCTGCTATTAGAAGCATGGAGAAGGAAGACAAACAGAGCAAATTTGCAGATTGTGTTCTGCTGTGCCTCCCCTATGAAGTGCCACTGTTTGGCCACATACCTACATACACACACAGAACAACTCAGAGATCAGCTGAGATTTGGAGCAACCAGCTCTTCTCCCACTAACCTGAGGGTCACTCAAAGCCCAGACACTTCTTATGCCCCACCTAATTACTTTTTTCATACGTTAAAATGTTTTCCCCCCCCACGCTGCTGTTTACCACTTAGATGACTTCCAATACGAATACCGGGTTGGAAGATGCTGGGAGCTGCTTGTTTGAGCTGTAGATAACATTGAAGCACAGTTTCTCCCTCATGAATCGACTACTTGTAGTAAGCAGCAGGTAGCATACAGGACTCTTGCCTTCTGCTGGCTGCCAGAGACCAGCTGCACGGGAGAGAGGGGATACCTTCGAGTGGCATGGAAGGTGACAGAGTACATACTAACACACCTCTCTGTCTTCCAGCAGCACCAGGTGTCTCAGCTGTTCCAGCTGCATACAGAAAAGCTGGCCAAACACACCTCTAAAGTCCCACCAACTTGCCCCATGCTAGAGTTAAAGCAGGTCACCAGAAAGCCCCCACAGCCACACACTGGTGCAGGGCACACCTTGGTGAGCAGAAACCAGCCCGTGAGACACTTCCTCCTACCCACATCTCCTTTAGGACATCCTAGAAGCCAACCAGCCGAGCTTTGCTGTAACCATGCTTCTCAGCTGCGTTCCAAGTAGCAGGGAGATGAAAGAAAGTCCCAGGTAGCTGGGAGATGAAAGAAAGGTTTCATTTTAAATAGCAGCCTTAGTCCAACTTTTCTTCATGTTCGATAGAGAAGACATTAGAAGTTCCCAGGGAAAGGCAGTCACCCAATTAGCGACCAGTTCTGTATTCCAGGGCAAATATGGCTCCTTGAGGCAGGAATAAAAGGAATAAGAGCACTAAAGACACTCCTGACAGGCATGTCCACAGCAACGCTTGCAGACTGTACCATGCTAAACACACAAAACAGAAGGTAGATGAAAAGGACTAGCAGATCCCATCTCAACTGTGGGTATGTCCAGGCTAATTATCACATTCTCAATAATACCTGAGTTTTGACACTGCTTTTATAATTTAAAACCAAACATGAACCCACCTCTTGAACAGGTGAACTGGTTTCCTAAACCAAACCAGAATTTGACTTGGGTTTTTCTGTGTTTCCAGTGCAAAGGCAGCCAGCCAACCTAATCTCGATAATTTCCACACACACACTAATGACAAAAAGCCACCACATACCAACCAGGTTAATCAATTTGAGTTTATGCAAGGACAGAACAGGCTGTCTGTATCCCAGCCACGTGAAGGCTTGCACTCATTAGACAGCAAGAAGCACGGTGGTCACTTGCCTCCCCCTGTGGCACCTCACTTTCACCTGCTGGGAAAGTCTCAGGGAGAGCAAGACAAGAGAGAGAACTGCCTAAAATGCAACTTGCTTAAAGTCCCAACACGGAATAGTGCTCTGTCAGAATCAGTTGTCTTTGAAATTCGTATTTCTCTCTGCAGATTGCAAATTTAGGGCAAGTGAGAGTTTTGAGAGACACCCTGCTCTTAGAGGGCAGTTTACCCAATACAGATGTGAGGCAACTACCAATCTGTATTTATAACCAGTGCTCAGTGCCCAGTTAGGAAAATGAAACACTGGCTCTGATCACTTGCGCAACTCGCTCCCGGCCAGTGCCAGTCCCGGGTGTGGTTCCCCAGTTGCTCACGCTGACCTCAGCCCACACTCTGCAGTCCAGCTCCCATCTCGCCCCTCCCTGGTGTTTCTCTCATCCTCTAATAAGCTATATCACGAAACTAAACTGGCAGAAAATTATTTTCTCCATGTCAGTTTTCTGCCCGTTTCAGCTTCCCGAAACACGCTGCCAGAGGCTTCTGCAGTGCCAACGCAGGGAGAAAGCTGGAAGGCAGATGGAGCAGCTTGGGCTGTACAACGCCTCGAGCATCACAGGCTGTTAGGGAGGTGAGAACCAGAGAAGAAATAGAGCCATCAGAGGGCAATGCACGTGCACTGCAGCCGCAAAGCATTTTATCATCACTGCAAGTTGCTCCGTAATGGCCAGGTAAACAGACACTAATTAGGTTTTGCCTACAAGCTCACTGAATGCAGGGCCTCATATGCACTTGCACAAACCAGAAACGCAGCACCTACACCTACCATCTGCATGGCTCTGCCAACACCAACGTTATCAGTCCTAAGCACTGTGAAAGCCCTGAAGTGCTGCCTGTGCCAACATAACGCAACATCTGTTTGGATATTTCTTCTGGCATCCATTGGTAACCAACAAAGCCCACCCTGGAGCAACAGGGCAAGGCTGTCTGACTGCGCCCACTGACAGTCAGACTGCCGGTGTGCTTTCCTTTGTGCTCCTTGGCTCGAGTGACAAGTTAGAAGCAACAAGGCTGCCAAGGGACTCTTTGGCACGGAGAAGACCATGAGAGCAGCAGACTGTCTGCATGCTGCTGGCACTGCTGCTCACAGGGGTGGGAAAAATACGTTTCGAGTGTATGTCAGTCTGAAGCAAGGTGTGCTCCTCACTGCGACTTACCAACTTTGGCAAAGGCCTCCTTGAGTTCCTCCAGCTCATCTTTGGAGATTTGCATGGTGTTGGCCATCTCATGAATTTAGGGAGTACCTAAAAGGAGAAAAAGGACACACTGTGAAACCAGACTGCATTCAAACATATGCAATTTTGAACAGCAGCATAGCAACAATCAGTACTAAGGCCACTACAGTTCTCAAAGCCACGTTGATCTTTCCACTAAAAACAGATGTGTGAAACTCAGAAGATGGGAAATGCACTCCTTAACAAGTCAAAAGTCCCGTTAACCTTGTTAATATTTAGCTCTGTATATTTATTTTATGGGTTATGCTGTTCTGCACACATTAAGGTACCTGCTACCAGTGCGTTCTGTAGGTCAGAAAAGCTCACATCTCCAGGGATTTTCCACAACTTTAAACAAAATCAGAATCCACAGTTAAAATATTAATGCAAGAGATACCGAATGCTCTTGCTTGCCTGTCCATCCCTTGAGAGCACACAGCTACCAAACCCAAATAATAAAGATTCTGAACAGCACCTGAAAAAAGTCTTTTTGCACAAAGTAGAATACCTGATTATTGTTTGCAAAAAGGAAATTGCCTGCTTTTCTTCAAGAAAACTGTTTGAAGAAGCACCTGCCTATTTCCCCAGGGCCAGTCCCTCAATAAACCATGTAAGCACCAGGCTGTTTGCACTGCCACTGACTCCCTCCACCCTCCAGAGCAAGGCTTGGCAGGAACACCGCAAATGTGGAACAGCGGGCATCAGCCACGCTCGACCCAGAGCACACAAACTGTGCTTTGATCAGATCTGCTTGGTGTTTAAGAAAGAGAAGATGAAGCACACAGTTCCTACAGCCATCTGCTATGATTCTCCTTTCCAAGCACTGATTAGGTGCCACCCAGCCAGCCTGGAAAGGAGGGATCACTGTAAGGATGGGAAAAGGCCAGTGACCTGCCCACGTGCCCTTCCCACAACATTTGTGACCGCGGCATCAGATGCCCTGTGGGCACTTTGGCCAATACAACCAAGAGGGATCAGCAATTGATGGAACAACGCAAACAGGGCAGTACCTGTGCGTGAACAAGAAGGTGGACACCGATAAGCACACATGCTAACTCTACCTCAGGGTCTTTAAAAATGGGGATGTGCAACTCAGTGCAACTTCCTACGAGATTTGCATCCCAAGATTTTCCAGCTCCTACTTTATTCGCTACAATCGCTGGAAGTTCAGAAATAAAAGGTTCCTTCTCCGCCTATGGGAACCTATGGCTGCCTCCTCCTCTGTAAGCAAACGGATGAGGGGTGAATTCAGGTTTGCAGACTATCAGAAGGCAGGATCCTGAACGGGCTGGCTCGCTGCTCAAGCAACAGGAGGCTCAGTTTCACAAATGCCTGTGCTCCGATTAGTAAGCCTCTCTTGTCTGAGGCTCACAAGCACTTGTTAGATTCAGAATACAAGTTTGCCCATAGCTGTAAATATTAATTTTCTGTAACACACTCTGCTGTCTGGAAAGAACGAAATCCTTAGGGATGAGAGCACTGGGCAGGTGTGGCAGCCTGGGAAAGCAGCTCAGACAGGTGCTAGCAGCAAAGAAAGTCAACAAGAACTTGCATCACTGCAGAGACATGAAGGAAAGCACATAAAAACCCCACCTCCCAGCATCCGCAGAGCTGCCAGCAGACAGGAGATGCGTAACAGTCAGTAAAAGCCACCACCAGCAAGACAGCCAACTTCATTGGGCTCATACTGCAAGAATGGGGCAAAGGGAGGAATTGCATCAGAGAAAAGGGGAAAAAAAAAAAAGCACCAGACTAAATGTTTTTATACTGTTTTACAGATTAAAAGGTAGGCTAGTTGACCAAGGAAACCAGGTCCTCGCAAGGTGCAGGAACACTGTGTGCAGCACTGCCCAGTCTGCCAGTCCCGGACCTACCCCGGTCCATACAGCACTCCGGCGGGTGCCCCTGCCTCAGTGCCACCAAAACATGGCTCTTCTTTCCAGGGGATAAAGGAGTTGCTCAGCAAGAAAGTCAGCTCTGAGCAAGCTTTGTGCATGCTATGGGAGGTGGATTTCACAACTAGCAGAAACACTTGGGGAACAGTATCAGGAACAGAGAGAGTTTCGGCTACAGGAGGAGAAAAGGGGAGGCTGCCAGGCAGCAGAGGCTAGGCTGCGAGACTAAAAATTCAGCCAACACTCCTTGACAATTCTGCCTTCTTCCTAATCCTCATCTGCACCAATTCATTTTCAAACCACGAGGATTTCCTTTAAAAAGAAATTTTCAAAATCACTTATCCAACCACTTCATTGGAATTTAATTTGCTGCTATCGCGAACATCTTAACACCAAAGCTGAGAGCTTTTAAAAAAAGCTGCTCTCTTAGACTTTACCCACAGCATACTATTTCCCTGATACACCTTACCATTCTTTGTGTGGGTCTTCACTCAAAAAAAATACTCCCTTCCAGCCCCTATCTTTCCCTGACTTACCATTCTTTGTGTGGGTCTTCCTCAAAAAATACTCCCTTCCAGCCCCTACGTTGTTCAGCTCAGTCACTAAGTCTATAAAACAGGTTCACCTCTCAGTTTTCCTATCACTTCTACCCTCTGTGTTTCTCTGCTTGAGCAGCGAGGGAGAACTGGAACCAACAGAGAAAAACCAGACACCTGACCTTGTTATAGTTGCTTACCATTCTTTGTGTGGGTCTTCCTCAAAAAATACTCCCTTCCAGCCCCTACGTTGTTCAGCTCAGTCACTAAGTCTATAAAACAGGTTCACCTCTCAGTTTTCCTATCACTTCTACCCTCTGTGTTTCTCTGCTTGAGCAGCGAGGGAGAACTGGAACCAACAGAGAAAAACCAGACACCTGACCTTGTTATAGTTGTCTGGGAAGAGGGAAGGTATGTTATGATATAACAAAAAAGTACATGAAAAGGGTTGTGAGCCACAAAGTTGCAAGCTGACAGGGACTGCTCAGCTCCCAAAGCAATTTTATAGGGTTTTTTGCAACAGAGAGGTATCACACGAGCATTGGTACGCTGGGCTGGGGAGCAGGGGAGCTTTTAGTTTTTTTGTTGTGTGGGGTTTTTCTTTTTGTTTGTTTTTGATAGCTGAGCCTAGGGCATTCAGAATCGTGTTTTTCATTCAGTTGCATTTTCAAACAAGAGGCTTTGTCTTCAAGGACATAAAAAGCTCTTTTATCAGGCTGGCATAGGGATCATGCATCAGCTGCCTCACTGGAAGCCCTGCGGGGACGCAGCACTGCACAGCTCACGCCTCACCAGGGGCAAAGTCTCTGCCGGGGCATGCACTGACAGCCAGAGAAACTCGGTGTGAAGAGTCATTTCAGAGGGAGGAAGAGAGAGCAAGGGGCAAAGAGGAGATAGAAGCGAGCTAGTGATCGTACACCCGTTTTACACCCTGGTGACAGATGGTCCATCAGTCAATGCACACAGAGTGTATAAGGAAGCAATTCCTGCTCCAGACCCCTTTTGCCCCTAACCTCGCAGCTCCATAACACACAGATGCACAATAGCAGCTTCACAGGAGACAGGGGCTGGCAGACTGTTTCTGTGCTCCAAAGACTTCACTTTGTGCCACAGATCAGAGCTGCTTCAAGTGCATCTCAGGTTTTCAAAGACAACTCCCTTCCCAGAGAGGGGCTGTATGAAGTTTCTGTGCAAACAAGTTTTATAGCTTCTGAACACACCGCAGTCACTGAACACGGGTCAGTTTATTTTCTCTCCAGACAGAGCTGTGATACGGGCAGGTCAAATAAAGCTCTCCCAGCCCGTGTGTTTTAACAGCTGTAAGCCACCTGGGGACATGCCACTGCAGCAGGGACTGTCACCGGAGGGATGCCACCGCTGCAGCGCTCAGCACTTCCAGCACAAGGGCCAAAACCAGGGCAGTTGGGTGGATTAACTGCTCAGACAACAACGTAAATCCACTCAAGTCCAGAGAAAGTCCCCAAGACTCTTCTCCAAGGTTGCAAGTCGTGGAAGCTGCATCCTGCACTGAGGATTGGTGGAACATGGAGGGGAGGAAAGGAGCATTCAGACATGTGCACGTCTTCTCGAAAGCTGGAGGATTAATTCAATTTTGAAAGCACACGGCAACCAAATATTTCCCGACAGCCACTTGAACACTTC